AACAGGAGTGGAAACTTCTCGAAAACGTGCAAGTACATATCTACAGCTTGGAGTCCTGCCAATGTAGTTTCCCTTCTTGATTGAAGTAATCTTCGAATCCTTTCCTTACGGACTGACCAGCATTTTTAGATTTTTGATGTTGCTCACCAGATGGTGCAGCGGATACAGATGACGCGACTGAGTATGGCAAATCTAAATATCCATTCTTGTAGCTCAACATATTATGTAAAAGGCAACACGTTTTCGTTATGAGCTCTACGGACATGTTCATTTTATGCTGTAGAATTTTAACCTGTTGGCCAGAATTCCGAAGTCATGCTCCACAACATGTCGAGCGCGAGAAATACGAATATTAAATATTTGTTTTTCTTTTATATTTGTATTGTATGAGTACGGCTTCATAATGTGTTTCTGAAGCGGGAATGCATCATCGCCGACTATTACATAGGGAAGTTTTCACCCATTCCCAATTATTTCGTCTGGCGGGAAGTATTTATCTGCATCATCGATAACTTTTTTCAAGTCACTCTGTAACAAAACGCCTGCATCATGGGTGCGTCCATTACAACCCACATCTATATATATAAAACGGCAATCAGCATCGACTAAAGCCAATAACACAATACTGTTAGTCCCCTTGTAATTATAGAAATATGAGCCGTCTTTCCGTAAAGACTGAAACACAATATGTTTCCCATCCAACGCTCCTATACAGTGGGGAAATTGCCATTTCATCGCAAAGGTTTCTGCAATAATTTTCCATTCCGTAATTGTTGTCGGAAACTATAAGAACAATAAAATAAAAATTGTTCTCATTATTTCAGAAAGCAACTGCAAATTTGGATCAACAAATAAAAGGCGTCAAGAGCTTGCTTGAGAAGCGATTGGACGATAGGAGTGATTATGATTGGCTCGGCCAACAGGTTATTTTCGAGTTTAAATCTATAAGAAATGAAGATTTGCGCGCTGAGACTGCTTGCAAAATTCAAACGATTTTGCGAGAAGCTAAATTGAAGGATAAATCTCTTGAAAACCAACATATTGATGAAAATTTCACAAGCGAATTTTTAAACGACTATGTCAAGTAGCATTAGCATATCTTCATCGCAAAACAAGAACTTTAGCGCATCAAGTTTCTCACTTCACGCTATTTCAAATAGCCCGGGTGAAAGAACTACCCGCTCCCCGGATATTTTACAGAAATCCCTGGATGGTATTCTAGACGATGAAGATTTCTTTCAATGATTTGATTTATGATTTATTGTATTTCTTTTCTCTTTATTGCTAATAAAAAAGTATTATTTACAAACCTTTAAATAATCGTCTTTAAAATGTTTCCAGATCGCTCTACACACTTCTGGAATAGGGCTACAAAGAAATGAGCATGATAATAGAGTCTGATGATTTGTGCTCTTTAATGTTTCGCCGGTCGCCAGGAATCGAAGTGTGGCAGCTAATTTTTCTGTTGGAGATACTGATTGCCGCATAATAGTATTGTTTACGCGGGGGTTTGGTAGATAACTGACGCTCAGGTGTCCCAGAGCCTTTATTTATAACAAAAACTCTTAACCTACACATACACAATTCTTACCCTAACCATAGTATATCTAAAACATGTGTGTTGCACTACACATGTAGTAGGTATGTATAACT